GTTTGAGTTTAATCTTGACCAAAAAACTCATCAAGAAAAATATCAATTTAAAAATTATTCCAAGAATCTAAACCGATTCATAAAACAAACTCATTTTCTTAGTTGTTTGAGTAAAAGTGTTGACCTGAGCGAACATGGAGGCGTGTTCGCGCGCGTGTCCGAACGGGTCGATGTGCCAGGCCACACGCGGGGACGCCCACACTCCCCAAACGTCTGGTTGAGGAAGCGCAGCCCCAGGGTCATCTGATCGATCACAGAGCTGTAGTGTGTGGACGCCTCGTCACTCATGACCCAGCCCCCGTTCACGAACTCCAGACGCCCTGGAACAGAGACCTGAGACCGAGACTGAGACCAGACCGAGACCAGACTGAGACCAGACCGAGACAGACGAGACCGAGACCGAGACCGAGACTGAGACCGACCGAGACTAGAGACCAGACTGAGACCAGACAGAGACCAGACTGAGACCAGACTGAGACCAGACCGAGACCAGACTGAGACCGAGACTGAGACCAGACTGAGACCAGCCCCAGGGTCATCTGATCGATCACAGAGCTGTAGTGTGTGGACGCCTCATCACTCATGACCCAGCCCCCGTTCACGAACTCCAGACGCCCTGGAACAGAGACCAGACTGAGACCGAGACCGAGACCAGACTGAGACCAGACCGAGACCAGACTGAGACCAGACCGAGACCGAGAACCAAGACCGAGACCGAGACCGAGACCAGACTGAGACCAGACTGAGACCAAGACCGAGACCGAGACAGACCTCGAGACCGAGACCGAGACCAGACCTGAGACCAGCCCCAGGTCATCTGATCGATCACAGAGCTGTAGTGTGTGGACGACTCATGACCCACTCCACTGAGACCCAGAGACCTGAGACACCAGACCGAGAGACCCTCGAGACGAGACGAGACTGAGACCAGACGAGACCCGAGACGAGACAGACTGAGACCGAGACAGACGAGACCGAGACCAGAACCGAGACCGAGACCGAGACCGAGACTGAGACCGAGACTGAGACCAGACCGAGACCGATGACCGAGAGACCAGACCGAGACCAGACTGAGACCAGACTGAGACCAGCCCCAGGGTCATCTGATCGATCACAGAGCTGTAGTGTGTGGACGCCTCATCACTCATGACCTCACCCGCCGTTCACGAACTCCAGACCCCTGGAACAGAGACCGAGACTGAGACCAGACCGAGACCAGACTGAGACCAGACCGAGACTGAGACCAGACCGAGACCAGACCTGAGACCAGACTGAGACCAGACTGAACAGCCCCAGGGTCATCTGATCGATCACAGAGCTGTAGTGTGGTGGACGCCTCGTCACTCATGACCCACCCGCCGTTCACGAACTCCAGACGCCCTGGAACAGAGACCAGACCGAGACCGAGACTGAGACCGACCAAGGAGGGACGAGGAGGGACCCGAGACCGGACCAAGGAGGGACCGAGGAGGGACCGAGACCGGACCGAGACCGGACCGAGACCGGACTGAGACCGGACTGAGACCGGACCAAGGAGGGACCGAGACCGAGGAGAGACCGAGACCGAACCGAGGAGGGACCAAGGAGGGACCGAGACCGAGGAGAGACCGAGGAGGGACCGAGGAGGGACCGAGACCGAACCGAGGAGGGACCGAGACCGACCGAGGAGGGACCGAGGAGGGACCGAGGAGGGACCGAGACCGAACTGAGGAGGGACCGAGTCCGGACTGAGGCGGGACCGAGTCCGGACTGAGGCGGGACCGAGGAGGGACCGAAGAGAGACCGAGGAGAGACCGAGGAGGGACCGAGGAGGGACCGAGGAGGGACCGAGGAGGGACCGAGGAGAGACCGAGGAGAGACCGAGGAGGGACCGAGGACCGAGGAGGACCGAGGACCGAGGAGAGACCGAGGAGGGAGAGGACCGAGACCGAGGGACCGAGGAGGACCGAGGAGACCGGACTGAGGAGGGACCGAGTCCGGACTGAGCGGGACCGAGTCCGAGACTGAGGAGGGACCGAGGAGGGACCGAGGAGAGGGACGAGGAGGGACCGAGGAGAGACCGAGGAGGGACCGAGGAGGGACCGAGGAGGGACCGAGGAGGGACCGAGGAGGGACCGAGGAGAGACCGAGGAGGGACCGAGGAGGACCGAGGAGGAGGGACCGAGACCGAGGAGACCGAGGAGGGACCGAGGAGGGACCGAGGAGGGACCGAGGAGACCGAGGAGAGACCGAGGAGAGGACCGAGGAGAGACCGAGGAGAGACCGAGGAGGGACCGAGGAGAGACCGAGGAGAGACCGAGGAGGGACCGAGGAGGGACCGAGGAGAGACCGAGGAGAGACCGAGGACCAGGACGAGGAGAGACCGAGGAGGGACCGGGACGGGACTGAGGCAGGACTAGGACTGAACCAGGACAGATCCGGTTCTAGCCCAGGACCAGACCGGACTGACCTTGGTTGACGAGTGTCCTCACGTCGTTCTTCATGTCCTGGTTCTGTCGTTTCCACCATCGGTAGAAAAACGCCGTCTCCACGTAGATGAAGCGGCGCTCGTGGTTCTTCAGGAGCTGCTCCACCACAGAGTCCAGGATGTACTGCACCCCGGCGTGCTGGATGTCGTTACGGTCTGCGGACACAAGGGGGCGGTAAAGACGCGCAGAGATCATCGACCAATCACAGAGCAGCAGAGGCGGCGCCGAACCCACCGAAACAAACACGGCGCCGCAGACGGACGGACTTCAGGGTTTCGTTTGTGAAAGTCGAGTCAGACGATCGTTTTGGACAATCTGTGTGTCGTTCTTGGTTCAGTCGTTTTTCAAAATAAAAACAAAAATAAGAAAAACGAAAAAACAACGATTTTTCTTCATTATTTGTCTCCAAAACCAAAATGAAAAAACAGATAAAGATTCGGTTTTTTTTTCAGTTTTTGATTTTGTGTTTAAGGATAAAAGGAAAAACTAACCAGGACTAAACCAGGACTAGACCAGGACTAACACCAGGACTACCAGGAACCAGGACTACCAGGACTAAACCAGGACTAAACCAGGACTAGACCAGGACAGGACTAGACCAGGACTAACCAGGACTAAACCAGGACTAAACCAGGACTAAACCAGGACTAAACCAGGACTAAGGACCAGGACTAAACCAGGACTAGACCAGGACTAAACCAGGACTAAACCAGGACTAAACCAGGACTAAACCAGGACTAGACCAGGACTAAACCAGGACTAAACCAGGACTAACCAGGACTAAACAGGACCAGGACTAAACCAGGACTAAACCAGGACTAACCAGGACTGAACCAGGACTAAACCAGGACTAAACAGGACTAAACAGGACTGAACCAGGACTGAACCAGGACTAAACCAGGACTGAAACAGGACTAAACCAGGACTAAACCAGGACTAAACCAGGACTGAAACAGGACTAGGCCAGGACTAGGACCAGGACCTAGACCAGGACTGAGACCAGGACAGAGACTGAGACTAAACCAGGACTGAAAACAGTTTAGTCCTGGTTCAGTCTTTTTCTATTTTTCATTTAAACACAAAATCGAAAACTGAAAAAACAAATCTTTATCTGTTTTTTTTATTTATTTTGGTTTTGGAGACAAATAATGAAGAAAACAGTTGTTTGTTTGGGTTTTTTTTTCTTCTTCTTCTTATTTTTGGTTTTATATTGGAAAACTAATTAACCAATGACTCCTCGTTCGGTCGCCATGGTGATGGTGAATATCTGGCGTCTCCACCCCAGAAAAAGAATGTCACAAAAACAACAACAAAAATGATCCTCTGAGCGGTGACGGAGAAACACACAGAGGCAACGGGTTTTCACTAAAATGTCTGTGCTTTTCCCTCAACTGGATTGACTAAAGTTTGATTTTTTTCGTAACGTGCACCAGGAACACGTCTGATTTACTGATTGTGGATTGTGCAAACTCCCATGAACCTCGAGCACCGGTGGAGAGTGTAGATCTGGTCCAGTGTCCACGACCGGGACCAAAACCACACTGCTCCTCCTGGACCCGAGGTTCGACTATCGGACAGATTCTCCTCCCCGACGAAGCTGAAGAAAATGGATGAATGATTTTTTTTCGTCTTGTTCTGCTGCTGTGAAGCTTTGACCAAACAGACTCAAGTATTCGACCTGATCTGATGTTTCTGATCTGGTTCAGTGAGATTCAGATAAATGTAGACGTCAGGGCTGCACCTGTCAGTCTGTCCAGAACCTCCAGAGTCTAAGGCTGCGTTCAGTCTGCACCTGAAGTGACCCAAATCTGATTTTTTGGCTTCTATGTTCCTGTATCTGATCTTTTAATGACAGTCTGAACTAGGGATGGGCATGATTAATCGATTAATCGATAATTGATCATTAAGAATTTCATCGATCACCTTAATTTTAATGGACAAACTGAATGTATGTGTGTGTGTCGTGACCAAACAGGTGTGTACATGTGTCTCTGCATCAGAAGGAGCGAGACACAAACAGTGGGTCAGTCTGTAACGAACCGAAGCACAAATGTGGATTTAACCAGGATTTGTAGAAGAAATTCCACACTTTCCGTTGCGTTGGGACAAGTGTGAGTCCATGTGCACAGTGGATAAAGCAGCACATATGTTTCTGTGTCCAGTGGGAAAAAGTTTTTCCAGGTGAGAGTCGCTCAATGTGGATGACGAGGCCCGGCCCCCCTCCCCCCGTACGCTGTCCTGGTTTTGACAAACACAAATCTGGTCACACTGACCTGTATTCACCTGAGTCATGTCTTTTAATCCAACACAAGTTGAACCACATCAGCGACACAAGAGCTGGAGTTTTATCTTCACTTAGTTTATGTAAATTAGTGATGTGGTTTTAAGTTTTGTTTCTGTGAGATTTGAACAAAACTGAATTAAACACATTATAATGTCAAACAGCTGATGTGGATCTAGAGTCGTTATGTTTATATGTCGTAAAGTTGAATTTATTGATGCAGATTAGTGCAGATAGTAATAATAATGATGATCATTTTAATATAAAAACCTTAATGATTAATCGATAATTAATCGTTAATTCTTCCGACGATCGATTAAGAAAATTTCATCGAATGTCCGTCCCTAGTCTGAACCACACAGATCCGATTTTTTCAAACATGACCCAGGACACTTGGATCTGTGCTCCTGAAACTGATCCATATCTGATCTTTAACATGTGACTTGAGTGTGAACAGTCAGGTCACATTCATCCACCTACACGTCATCAACAAGACACAAACGTCACTATTCTGCACTGAAGTAGGAGGAAACTGGAACTTTAAAATCTCCAGGTGCTCGATGCTGCGTCCATGTTTGTTCAACTTGTGTAAACACAGAGACGCTCGCTGCGGTTGACGTCGTCGTGTCTCCAGTGTCACATGTGGGACACTTTTGGACCGTTTAATGTTCACACTGGAGTCACATACAAGTCACATTTAACTGGAAATGTGAACGACCTCGAAAAAACATCAGATTTCACAAAAAAATCTGAATTGAGCGTTAAACCTGCAGACTGAACGTAGACTAAGAGATTCTGTCACTGTCGTTTATTCTGTCGTTTATTTGATCTGTTCTAGACTGTTCATGAAAAACATTTACCTCTGGAATTATGAAAACATTATTAAATTCTGAAATAATCCAAACACCTGTGTAAGATCTCGTGACGAGAGGCAGAAGTTCACTTAAACGACGCTGCAGCTGTCAGCAGTGACACGACTCATATACATGGATGTTTTACCTTTTTAAAGTCTTGTTTTTCAGTTTCAGTGTAAAAAGGCCCCAGCGCTCGTAAAGCTCATGTGATCTGTGAATGACCAAACTGAATAAAAAGATAAAAACAGCTCCAGGTCGTCAGGTTCTTTACCTCCGTAGAAGTACTGGTCCACGGTCTTGAGCCAGCCCACGTCGTCGTGAGTGTGAGGGACCAGGTGCACGTTCAGCAGGCCCGGTTTGGTCACGTGACACGACTGAACAAAACAGAACAAAAGTCATCAGCAGTGAACATTACAACATCTGAGAGTCTGGGAAGATCAGCTTTAGCATTATTGATCAGTGTGTCCCTGTTTCAGATGGAGCAGGAGTCAGGAATCTGTATTATTATTTTTATTCTTCTTTGTTTTAAGTTAATTTATAATTATTTTTTTTTATAATTTTTTTATATTTTCTATTCATATAACATTTTTTATTTAGTTTATAGTTTAGTTATTTTTAATTATATATTTTTTATTATTCTTATTTAAATATTTTTTATTTTATTTTGTAATTTTTGAAATGTATTTTTGTCTTATCTTCTTCATATTATTATTATTATTATTATTAGTAGTAGTAGTAGTAGTAGTAGTAGTAGTAGTAGTATTTGTTTTAATGTATTAATTAATTAATTAATTTATTTATTTATGTATTTATTTAAAGGTGTATTGTGTAACTTTTCAGGTGGAGGATCTGCTAAATGGCATTAAAACTTTTATCTTCACGTAGACCAGGGGTCGGCAGCCCGCGGCTCCAGAGCCGCATGTGGCTCTTTAGCTCTCCCCTAGTGGCTCCCTGGAGCTTTTTCAAAAATGAGTGAAAATGGAAAAGAAGTACATGTAAACGGGGCCTAAATGACAAAGGAATAAACAGGAACCACCTGATTTCAGTGTCTCCAGACGGAGCAGTGAGTGTGAGAGGGTCACAGAGGGTTTGTGGATCATGATGTTCATGTTGTATTTGTACTGAGTCATTTTAATAGTTGGTTTATACAGTTCATACACTGACAGTCTGTGTTGTCTTCATATTACACTTATATAAGACTTTTAGTTTTTTGCGGCTCCAGGCAGGTTTGGTTTTTGTTTTTTTGGGCCAATATGGCTCTTTGAACATTTTGGGTTGTCGACCCCTGGGCTAGATCAAACCAGACCACCAAAGTTCCAGGTCAGATCTGTGGAGAGGCGACCCCACTCACAGTCACAATGTCTGTTTTTCGAGGTATTTTTGAGCTTTCAAACCCCCTGTGATTGAATAAATGTAAAGCAGAGCTGTTTAAAGTCACACTGTGGAATATTCAGACAGAAATAACATCTCCACCAGAAAAGTTGCACAATGCAGCTTTATAAAACACAGTGACATTTACCCTCCCACATCTGATTCGCTGATAAAGGAAACTGTGCAGCCAAAGGTTCCTCTTTCACTCAACTCCACATTTATCAATAAATACAGTTCAAAGTGTTCAGTCCATAAAGTCCAACAACAACAACAACAACTCACCCTCATGTGACTGATAATACTCCCTACAACTGTACAACTCACCCTCATGTGACAGATAATACTCCCTACAACTGTACAACTCACCCCCATGTGAGATAATACTCCCTACAACTGTACAACTCACCCTCATGTGACAGATAATACTCCCTACAACTGTACAACTCACCCTCATGTGACTGATAATACTCCCTACAACTGTACAACTCACCCTCATGTGACAGATAATACTCCCTACAACTGTACAACTCACCCTCATGTGACTGATAATACTCCCTACAACTGTACAACTCACCCTCATGTGACAGATAATACTCCCTACAAACTGTACAACTCACCCTCATGTGACAGATAATACTCCCTACAACTGTACAACTCACCCTCTGACAGATAATACTCCCTACAACTGTACAACTCACTGACAGATAATACTCCCTACAACTGTACAACTCACCCTCATGTGACAGATAATACTCCCTACTGCTGCACCTTTGCACAGTTTTCCTTTTGAAACTTGTGTAACAGATATTTTATTACTCATTTTTCTATTTTATTTTGACTTGTACATTTACATTCATACCAGTCTCATGTTATTTTTGTTAATTATTTAGAATTTAATATCACCGTTTATCTTTTTTTTCTCTTTGTTATTATTTTATTTTGTGATGTGTGACTCCGGAGTCCAAATCATTTCTCTTGTGGATCAATAAAGTTTGTCAAAGTCTAAGTCTAAATCTTGCAGAAGAAAAAACTTTGAGGAAACGACGAGTGGAATGTGAACGAGCCGGACTTTGAGTCTTTTTGTTTTGTACAACGTGCGCTGAAATGTTCTAAACACTTAAACACGAGGACTACGCATTCTCAAAAAAAAATAAAAATAAAATAATAATAATGATAATAATAATATTAATAAAAAAGGTAATAATAATAATAGTAATAATGAAAAATAAAAAATAAAAATGATAATAATAATAATAATAATAATAATAATAAAACAGTACTATATGGAAACTTTAAAAAAATTTATAAAATAATAATAATAATAAAAAATAATAATAATAAAAACAGTACTATATGAAAACTTTTAAAAAATTTTTAAAAAAGTAATAAAAAATAAAATAAATAAATAAAAATTGGCAGTATTTTTGGTTTTGGAGCCAGCGCGCAGCCCCAACAACTTTCACTGGATTGGCATTAGGGTTGTGCAAAAATACTGAAATATCGATATATCGTATTGTTTAATTTGATGATACAGGACTGATTAGTATTTTTAGGTGTATTTTATTAAAGTATTTTGTGTAACAGCTCCAGTTGTAATGGTTTATCTGGACTGGCCTTAGTGTGAGTTTAACAGTTTGATTTTAATTTATTCCATATAATAATAAATAATTTCCCATCGAGAACTTTGTACATTTCCTTATGTAAAATAAAATAAAAAATGTGTCTGTTTACATGTTTTATTATTAAAGATGACTATTTATAAAAGCACCTCATTTAAACCTGGACTAAAACTGGAATAAATTTGGACAAAACTGGACTAAACCTGGACTAAAGCAGGACTAAATTACCACTATATTTGGACTAAACCTAGACTAAAGATGGACTAAAGGAGGACTGGACCTGGACTAAATTTGCATTAAATTTGCACTAAACCTCCACTGAACCTGGACTGAACCTGGACTAAGTCTGGACTAAACCTGGACTGAACCTGGACTACATCTGGATTAAACCTGGACTAAAGCAGGACTTAACCTGGACTAAAACTGGACTAAAGCAGGACTTAACCTGGACTAAAACTGGACTAAACCTGGACTAAACCAGGACTAAACCAGGACTAAACTAAGACTAAACAAGGACTAACCCAGGTCTAAACCAGGACTAAACCAGGACTAAACCAGGTCTAAACCGAAGCCTTTGTCATAATAACAGCAGCACCAGTGACTCAAAGTGAAAGTTGGAAACATCGTCTCTGTCTCTGTGTGTCACGTGATCGTAAACTACGTTCCTAAATCTGTCGTGACGTCATCAATAAAAGTGCTCGTGTCTCACCTCGTATCCGCATTTGTCCCGTTGTTGTTGTTGTTGTTGTGGTTGTCGTTGTTCTCGCTGTCGTTCTTGTTGTCGTTGTTGTTGTTCTATTTCTTGTCGTAGTTGTTCTTGTTGTTGCAGTAGTTGTTTTTGTCGTTCTTGTTGTTGTCGTTGTTCTATTTCTTGTAGTAGATGTTCTTGTTGTTGTAGTAGTTGTTTTTGTTGTTCTTGTTGTTGTTGTATTTGTTGTATTAGTTGTTCTCCGGGGCTCAGAGGAAACGCGGACGCGGTGGTGGCGCAGAGGAGAAGTGCCCCGGTGCAGAGGAGCGCGGCTGCGGTGCGCTGATGTGCGCTCCTCTCCGCCATGACTCTCAAGTCACATGACCCGCGCGCGAGCTCTGTTTATGTCCCGGGAGTCACGTGAGCGGAGGGAGGAGGAGGAGGGGCGTGTGCGTGACGTCATTATTTTTTATTTTAATATTTTTAATTTTTTTTTTTTTTTTTTCTACGACGACGAATATTATTACTATTACTATTACTACTACTATTTTTTCTTATTTTTACTACTACTACTACTACTACTACTACTACTACTACTACTACTACTACTACTACTACTATTACTACTACTATTAACCCTAACCCTAACCCTATATACTAGTACTACTACTACTACTACTACTACTACTACTACTACTACTACTACTATTACTACTACTACTACTACTTACTACTATTACTACTATTACTACTACTACTACTATTAACCCTAACCCTATATACTAGTACTACTACTAGTACTACTACTACTACTACTACTAGTACTACTACTACTATTACTACTACTTACTACTTATTATTCTTTTTATTATTACTACTACTGTTACTACTTCTATTGTTTCTTATTTTTTCTACTACTACAATTATTTATTTATTTATTTTATTTTTCTTATTCTTATTTTTATTACTCCTGCTGCTACTAAGAGTTTCTGGGTGCAGTCAGGGGTCAGGGGTCAGGGGTCGGGGGTCAGGGGTCGGAGGGTCTGGTTTGACCACAGGATCATCTCTGCTGTTCACAGATGATGTCGTCCTGTCGTCTTCATCAGGTCAGGACCTGCAGCTCTGGGACGGTTTGACCCGAGTGTGAAGCGTCTGGATGAAGATCAGATCCTCGTGGTTCTCGACCGGAAAAAGTCGTCTTGTCGTCTCCGGGCGAGTGGAGAGTCTCTGCCTCAAGTGGAGGAGTTCAAGTTCAAGAGCGTGAGATTGACAGGTGGACAGTGCAGCGTGAGATTGACAGGTGCAGGTGCAGTGATGCGGTCGCTGTATCGTTGTGGTGAAGAGGAGCTGAGTCGAAAGGCAAAAGCTCTTGATTTACCATCAGTCTGTTCCTCCTCTCACCTCTGGTCATGAGCTCTGGGTAGTGACCGAAAGAACGAGATCGCGGATACAAGAACTTGAAATGAGTTTCCTCCGCAGGGTGTCTGGGCGTCTCCCTTAGAGACAGAGTGAGGAGCTCAGTCACACGGGAGGAGCTCGGAGTAGAGCCGCTGCTCCTCCACG